GGTAAGGAGGTGATGTGAGAACGAGCCACAGAGCTGCTGCTGCTGCAGTATCACACTGTGACCACAGTAGGCACTGCCAAAGCAGCAGCAGGACGACCTCTAACTGTGCAAGCAAAACTACTTCAAAGGCCCTAAGAAGAGAAGAGATGGAACGACTTTGCAAAGAGCATCAAAGAGCTAAACACGTCCTGCCGTAACCACATCAGAGCAAATGTAGGGGGGGGAAACATGAAGCATGTTTGATGAATCAGACAAGAACTGATTTATGGATGTTACAGAGAAACAGCTGTAGTGAATAACATTGGCATATATTAGTTTTTAGCTCTGTGTGTTCAGATAAAAATACAGTGTTCCCTCTCTATATTGCGGGTTTCCTTTTGCTCACTCAGTATGTCGCAGATTTTTTTTAAAAATTCTTGGCCAGTATGCACTCCTCTGTTCACTCTCCTATTTCCTTAGTCCCAGCTGCTAATATACAGAGAGGCAAAATTGAGAAAAAAAAATATCAAAATTTTTCACCATCTGACCAAAATGACATGCGAAATAAAGATTTTGCTGAAGATTTGCAAAAACAATTTTCCTATAAAATCATAATATTTTTTCACCATGACCTAAAAAGGGGAGGTGAAATACGAATCTTTCCGAAAATGTTCAAAAAAACCCCTTAATTTAATAATTTGATGAGAAACATGCAAAAAATTTAGCACTGATAGAAACAGCTAAAAGTTAGCCAACTACAGCTAACAGCTTATATATATATAACTGGCCTCCAAGATGGACCTTGAACATGACTGTGTCATGCTGTCTCTTACTTTTCTGAAAGCATTGTGATGTTCATGAATTGTCATATATGAAACCTGTAAAACCTTTATAGGTACAATGCATGCGACTCTGTTGTGACTTTTAACTACATGTTTGGTAAACGGTCCTGACAGTTTTCAAATTTGCTGTTTAACAGAACTATTATACCTGGAAACAGTTCACTTGTGTGTACTGTATGTATGTAGTGTGTTAATTTGTCAGTTTTTCAAATGCTCTTTAAAGAGCCCAAGATGAGGAACAAACAGTGTCTACAATGACTAAGTTCAGAACTAACAGCAGCAGTCCAACAAAGCTCTTCCCACAGAGACTTCAGAGAACAAACACCTTTCTTGTAAGATAAGAACACACTTCACAATAACTCCAAGGTTCAAAGACCAACAACAGGTCACGACTATGTTCTCAGCTTGTTTTAATAGTCATACACATGTTGTGCATTACAGCCTTCCACAACATGGAAAACCACTGGTCCACAAAATCTGTAGTAGAATGCACATTGTACAAAGACACAGGATGGAGAATAAACCATTTTTTAACAGACGTGTGCAAACACATGAACGGCACAAGGCTAGAAATCTCCCATGACTCAATGTATTGGCTTGTACTTGACCTTTACTTTAAAATATCACCTTATTTCAGCAGAGAACGTCTCTGGTATGCCTCACATGAAGATGTTCTGAGGGGAAAAAAAAAACTTGAAATAAAAACGGCTGAGGTCAAGTTAACAGCATGGGTAAGAAGAAAGAATATATTTGCAGCTGAGGTTATGTCTCTGAATAAGTAGCGACTTTCTAAGTTTAACTTGTTTGGAAAAGTAGATGGAGCTTCTCTACTGGAATAACAAAAAAGAAATTTCCAAAGGTAAAGTCAAGCACATTATGACTGAAACAGCTAAGGTTAAGTGTTTTTGGAGTTAAAGCTAAAGAGGCAAGGTGAGCTGAAACATTATGAAGAAAGAAAGAGAAAGAAAGAGAAAGAAAAAGAAAGAAAGAAATAAAGAGAGAGAAAGAATAATCAAGAAAGAAAGTAAGAAAGAAGGAAAGAAAGAAAAAACAAGAAAGAAAGAAAGAAAGAGTGAAAGAAAGAAGGGAAGAAAGAAAACAGAAAGAAAGAGAAAGAAAGAAAGAAAGAAAGAAGGAAAGAAAGAGAAAAACAAGGAATGAACAAAAAAGAAAGAAGGAAAGAAAGAAAGAAAAAAGAAAGAGAAAGAAAGAGTAAGAAAGAAAGAAAAAGAAAGAAAGAAATAAAGAGAGAGAAAGAATAATCAAGAAAGAAAGTAAGAAAGAAGGAAAGAAAGAAAAAACAAGAAAGAAAGAAAGAAAGAAGGAAAGAAAGAAAAAACAAAGAAAAAGAGAGTAAGAAAGAAAGAAGGACATAAAAAAGAAAGAAAGAAAGACAGAAAGTAAGAAAGAAAGAAACAAAGAAAGAAAAAAATGAAAGAAAAAAGAAAGAGAAAGAAAGAGTAAGAAAGAAAGAAAAAGAAAGAAAGAAAGAAAAAATAAAGATAGAAAGAAAGAAAAAGAGAGAAGAAAAAAAAGGAAAAAGAGAGTAAGAAAAAAGAAAGAAAGAATAAAGATAGAAAGAAAGGAAGAAAAAAGAAAAAAATAGAAAGAAAAAGAGAGAACAAATAAGAAAGAAAGAGATAAAGAAAGAAGGAAAGAAAGAAAAAAGAAAGAAAGAAATAAAGAAAGAAAAAAAGAAAGAAGGGAAGAACAAAAAAGAAAGAAGGAAAGAAAGAAAAATGAAAGAGAAAAAAAAGAAAGAGAAAGAAGCAAAGAAAGAAAGAAAGAAAGAAAGAAGGAAAGAAACGTTTTACAGCCTGCAGCTCTGTCATAAAATGAATCACGTGTGGCCCAATAACAGGTGTAAACAAATAATTACCAACATCTACATGTATGTTCACCACAGGAAATAAACTATTAACCAATATTTAAATATTTACTTAAGTCTGCTGAGAGGAAGGTCACAAGTCTGACACACAAGTTGTCTGTACTGTACTTAAGTCTGCTGAGAGGAAGGTCACTGACACACAAGTTGTCTGTATTGAGTGTCAGTGTGTGTGTGTCTGTTTTTTTTTTTTAGTCTTTTTTAGTTTTAACATATTGCTGGGTTATCAGCAGTTTAGATTGTGTTAATGACATCATTTCTCAATATTGAGCAGGGAATTTACTTCATCTTATACGAAAGGCAGTTTAACAGGGAACGTTAAACAATTCAGTTAAATTTTATCGTAATTCAAAGAAAGTTTGTGTTACTGACCTTCACTGCTACTACAAAACAAAGTCCAGAAAGGGATCGATGATCAGGGTAAACATGTGTCACACATAGGTGGGCTGGATGGGTTCATTCTCCAGTGTGATTGGACAAGGCTGGTATCTTAAAAACAAGAACAGGATAAGGCCAATGTTAGTAAATATTGGAAACGAAAGAAGAAGTATCTCTACCACCGCTGAGTTTTTTCCTTGAAACGTCATGAGTGGATGTCCTTTCTTTGAGAAAAGGCATTTGTACGTCTTGTCAATTTTACTAAAGTCAGGATGGATTTTGTTTTTGTTTTCTCTTTTCTCAACAATCTCCTTTCCAAAACTGCAGGTTGTTCAAAAACAAGCTTCCCAGCCCTGAAGAAGACGATGCATCTCAGGCCGGGGATAACAAGGCCAATAAAGGAGGAATCTTGTATGGAGAGTATCTGCAGGTAGGATATAGGAGCCAGTCTCAGCTGGAAGTTTACTTTTGAAAGTTTAACATCTGCGTCAAACACGTTTCTTCTCTTCAACCCTCAGCTTGACAAAATCCTTTCAGGCCAAGTGTTGCAGAGTGAAGTGAAGGGGAATAAGATTCATGATGAACACCTGTTTATCGTCACTCATCAAGGTAAAAAATAAAACCCCAACAACCTAAGAAAGCCAAATTAAATAAAAAATGTGAAATATTGAAAATGCATTTTGAATTAAAGTTAGTGCCAGATCCTAAACCCTCAACACATGTACAGAAGAGCAAACAGAAACAAATTCTGTGTATTTTGTCTTGTTCAAGTCAACTAAATATTTATCTGAATCACTGCTCTCTGTGGTTTATCGTGTCTTGTTCAAGTCAACTAAATATTTACCTGAATCACTGCTCTAGCCTATGAGCTGTGGTTCAAACAGATTCTGTTCGAACTGGACTCAGTGAGAGAGATCTTCACCAGGGGACATGTGAGTATGATGCTGCAGCTGCATAAGATTGTTCTGCAATAAACTCTCCTGAATTAGCCTCGATTGAATGGATAAATGAACGATAACTTAAGAAAGGGAGACTGTGGTGTTAAAATACTCTACTGTTTTAGGAAAGCTTTGAGAACACAGCCACAAAATGTGCAATAAAAATAATAATAATAAAAAAAAATGGACCAACAAATCTGACAAAACGCCAGATTCAGATTTGGCTAATTGTTTGTGTAATGTGCATACAATTAAACAATGTCCCTGGGTGATATCCAGTTGATGAAGATTGAAATAGCACATGAAATAATGATAAAAACGAACCTACAGAGTGGGACGTGCATGGATAAATACTGACACTTATTCTTTGTTTGTTTTAATTGTGTAATTATCTTTTATTTTTCAGAGGAACAAAACCTTTTTGATAATAAAACAAACGGTGTCAAAGTTTTTCATCACGTCACAACATTATAGTTAGGCACTAATGACTAAAACAAATCCATTAAACCATTTTTTAATTGATTTTTTTATTATTGTTATTTAGTTTTAAAATCCCTTTTGGCTGCTCGACATGTAACTACCTTTTCATTTACTAGCGGTGACAAAAAAATTAAGTTCAGTGTTAATTGACGGGGCATATTGTGTGTTATTATACTAAAAGTTCTTTATCTACTTCTGAAAACAGCTAAAACGTTCAACCATTTCTCGTGGCAGGTGCGAGACGAACGAAACATGTTGAAAGTCAACACTCGTATGAACAGGATTGTGACAATCTTCAAGCTGCTGGTCGAACAGTTTGCTGTGTTGGAAACAATGACAGCCTTGGACTTCTTTGACTTCAGGTGTGTGTACAGTGTACGCTACATCCCTGATTTTTTTTTTTTTTTTTGCCTTTTAAAATTTTCATGAGATTCATGCACAGACAAGTTTACTGTTGTGTGCTGGTGTCTGTGAGTGCAGGGAATACCTGTCACCAGCCTCGGGCTTCCAGAGCTTTCAGTTCCGACTCCTGGAGAACAAAATCGGTGTCTTGGACAACCTCAGGGTTCCTTACAACAAGCGTCATTACAGGGACAACTTCAAGGGTCATGACAGCGAGATCCTGCTGGCCTCTGAACAGCAGCCCTCGCTGCTGAAGCTGGTGGAGGTACAGACTGCTTCAACAAATCCAGCTGCATATGGAAACAAACTTTTAGGTTTTGTCTTCAATATTTTAGTGAATTTGTTCTTGTGTTTCTCTTTTCCTCTGTGAGACTTACATTCACAACTATATATATATATAATCCTATGTATAACAGGAGTATAATAATAATACTATGTCAAAGGATAGGTATGATTTAGGTAAGGGATAAAGAATTAACCTAAACTTAAACAACAAATCGCTGAAGCTCAAATAGCTAAGTTAGCCAAAACAGTATACAAGAAATACTTAAAATAAAAAGTATAGAAACATTGGTATAATTGTTCTGGAAATGTCATCCTTAGTAATTAGTAAGTTACCTATTAGAGTGGTAAGAGAGGCCCAAGGTTCTGACACCCCTCATTAACATAGTACCTGTTTAATTAGAACTGTACCATTGACACTAACCAGTTCTTGTGCTGTATGTCAGGAGTGGCTGGAGAGAACTCCCGGCCTGGAGGAAGATGGATTCAATTTCTGGAGCAAACTGGAAACCTGTATTTTTGAAGGACTGGACAAAGACAGGGACAACATCACTGTAAGAGAATAAATCAAGTCCCAAAAAAAAGAGGTTGGTGAACAAGATAAGGTTAAAAAAATAACTCATGAAATTGTGATTAAAGACAATTCCGGATGCGGAGGAGAAGGAGGAAATGAAGGCAGAGTGGGTCCAAAAGAAGGAGGTCTTCACTTCCCTGTTTGATGAGAAACGTCACGAACATCTGCTTAGCAAAGGTGAACCAAAGGTCATTTAATAAATATTGCCATGTTCACAGTTTCAGAGGTATTGTGGAAATATG